ACTGTGTGTTGGATGGTACACTGGTTATTTGTCTTTATGTCGACCTCATGCTTCTTAGATCTTGCACTGCACATGCTGACTGCGGTAACTTTTAACACATTTAAACTTTTTTTTTTGTTCTGTCACAACCTGCTGTAGTTCACTGAATTCATTTACTGGAAATCTTTGGTTTCCAACCAGTTCTTTTTGATTGTTCTACTGAAATTGGACCATGTCTGAAAGGTGCTGAAAGCAGAAGACCATCTTGATTCTTAAGGCCTAGTAACAGGTAGCGACAGGATTGCATTCGTCTGAGTTATGACTTCACTTAACGCAAAGTAACAGTGTATTCAAGGATAGTTATTAGAATATATGATAGCCAATGAACACCGTCTTGATTCCAAGACACCCGGTCAGTTTTGAATACAAAATAAGTCTGAGGTAACAGCAAGCTTATTGGAAAGAGAGTAAGCAAATTGTTCAGAACTGTAATGAAAGATCAATTTGGGAAATGAATTTGATGTTGGTTTATGTATTGTGGAAGATATTAGCAGTATCATAATACAAAAATTAACTAGAAATTTTGAATAAATGTTTTCATTGTTAAGAGATGCATGTTATGCTTCTAAACCAAAGATTTCCTCATCTGGAGAGAGAAGAGTATTTTAAATATGAGTGCGTATTAGGTAATATTATGCAGAAACATGAGTTACTGATCATTTGAAGCTAGCAAATTTCTTGGGGTTTTAAAATACAATTTTTCAATAGATGCTTTTTGCCTAGTTTCCATGCTGGAGTTCTCTCTTATTTAAGGAACTCTGCTGCAGTCTGTTCCGAACATGCCACCTGCAACAAAATTTGCCTCCTCGTTTTCCCTTCTGAGCAGGATTGCAAAGAAATTTTCCATGGTTCTGCTCCAGCTTTATCACAAAGAACAACACTGTTTCCCTGTTTATCTGAATATCCTTCGTGCACACCTGGGTCCAGATACGCACCAATTTGACCCCATTCCTCAGTCTTCAGGGTTTGTCAGTCAGCTGGGCTGAGCCGTACCAGGGAGTAACCACGTGTGAGCAGCATCTGGTATATCGCTGCCTTACACTGGCAGACACCTTTCTGTCCTGCGCTGGCTCAGACGCTGGGCTAGGCAGAAACCATCCCACAAGGTTTAAGTGGCACAAGTTGAGGATTGGGGTGCTGCTTTGAGTATGTTGAATTCCAATTTTAAAGCGTATTGAATTTATGATAAGAATTTTAATAACATGTTGCTTCTAAGTGTATTTAGTAATTACTTCCTTACCCTGTCACAAAGCTGTGCATTGCTCTTCTGAATACATGAAAAGGAAACTTTTTTCTGTTTTATAATAGAAATCTAAACCCACATCATAACCTGTGGCTTGGTGTTAATTCCTGGCTAAGTGCATTAATGGTTTAATATCTTTCAAGCAATATGGCCCAAAAAGAAGAACATTTGTGTCATCCTTTTTCTGAGTCTTCGAGAATATATTTTGTTGCCTTGAGTAGGTTAAGAGACTCCTCAGTACAGAGATGATTTTTCTTTTATGACCCTAAGCTAGGTCTAGATCTGTATTTTTAACAACTCTCTGTATTTAGTATGGAAAAAGGAAAATTATTTTTATAATTTTGTAGGTTCTGTTAAGTCCATCCATCACCTTTGTACACTCAACTTACACCTAAGTTTTTAAAATCTGTATATGAAGTACCTGAGTCTGGACAAATCTTGTCAATGTATGTACCCAAGATTTAAGAAAGATGTTTTGCTTTCAGTTAGTGAATAAGCTGACTTAAGCAAATTGCTTTTAATCTATTGCTGGTCCTGTAATTGTTGTTCATTGCCTGTGCAATCATTTCATAAACTTGTTGGTTTAGCACAACTATTACTAGTACGTTTGTAGATAGAGCCATCACTAGTGCATGTTGCTTTTATGGTCCAGAAAAACTGCTGGTTTTATTGTGCTTACCTTTTTTGTTTTCAGTCATCTGCAGAGATGGTATGTGTTTGTGCTCTTAATTCTGCAGTACTTAAAGGTTGATTCCCTGTCTTGATGGGCTTAATATGTTAAAGATACATTAATGTTGATATTAATCATGTAATGATTAACACGTTTGTAGCTTAAAATATCAATGATAGATTAAGGTGACTGCTTTATATGTTTGATACTCTTATGTTCTTTCCTTTTTTCCTTTGATCCCAATCTTAGAGATCTGTTGACAGTAGTAACCCATTGTTTGAGTCCTGTTAAGGTCTGCCTTGCCTTCAGACAAAAATTTTAAGGATCCTTGGGCACAACCATGCAGACTGTACCCCACAGCAGGCTGATCCAATGGATTACATGTGCTTCTGGCTTCAATGGGAAATAAAACCTTAAAATTGAAGAGAGAACACAGGCACTAGTTAGATGCAGTATGATTTGTAGCTGTAGGATTTGATTCTCTGACCCTTGTGGCAAAGGACCACCAATTTGAAAGACAACTGAGCTTAAATACCAGGCATATATACAGGCAAAATGATAAGTTAGTTGCTCTCCTTTCAAGTTATGCTTTGCATTTCCAGTCCTGCTCAATGAGTCAACAAATGTATTGTGTCTTACGACAGGTCCATATTTATTCCCTTGGCATGGCACTGTTTTGGGGAGCTGACCATGAAGTTCCTCAGAGTCAGGTAAGTTTAGATTTGGTTTCGTTTAATATTGTAACTTTAGACTTCATAGTTTGAGTGAATCTGCATTTGAGTTAACATGGCAAGGCGGCATAAAGAGACACTGAAGCGTAGGATATTTTCCTGTACTTGGAGCTTTTTTCTTGTGGAGTGTGAGAGGGTGGTGGTGTTGTCTCGCAGAAAGAAGCTGCTGACACTACGTTTCTGTTAGTTTCCATGAAGATACATCTGGGCTAGTCTATCCTGTAGTGTCACCGGCTAAAAGACAACAGTTTAAGCTGCTGACAAAGGAGAAAATTATTTGTTTTGGTTTAGGCTTATATAAAAACAAATATTTAAATAACATTGTTGTTTTACTCACAATAAAGCAACTTACTCTCTATGCTGCTGTAACTTCTGTCAGTCTGGACTTGGCAGATACAGATACTCGTGTTGCACAATGGCCAAGAAAGGGTATGAATTGTTTGGAACAGGGAGTAGACTCTTGGTATTGGCTCGTCAGTCCATGTAGACGCAGTTGCAGGCTGCTTAGAGCCGAGTGTTATTGCTCAATACAGTTATTTCACACACCCAGCAGAACTCCTAGACTGACTTTCCAAAACTGACTAAGATGATGGGATTCATCATCTTCCTGGGTGCTCTTTCTATGCTCCCAGTTAAAATTCCAAAAGTGATTATCTGAAAGAGTAAAAATAAGATGAAATGCATCCAAAAAAGCATTTAATGATGGCCTTGCAGTTGCAGGATTTGGCAGAGTGTTGTGCAGCTCGAGTAGATAAGTTATTTCTGGTTTGTATTTCGGTCCAGTCCTACTAGTTGGCGATATATGTAAAGAAGCAAACTTTGAGAAAGGCTCTGTGGCAAATTAAGTGTTCAGTTCCTAATACTTCCTTTAAGAGAGTGGTAGTGGGGTTCTCAGTTGTACTGATTTGGAAGTACCTGCTGGAAGGCAAAAGTCAGAACACTTGAAGCTATGACTTTTAGGGATACTTATTTGTAATGCCTACTGTACCTGTCCCAGAAGTCCCAGTATTTTCTTAGACAGCTGTCCTCTCTCTTTGCTCTCCTGCCTTGTAGGAGATGAAAGGAACAGTGTTCAGCAGTAATGGGAGTGTGACTTAAGGCAGGTGTTGAGCAGAAAGTAGGCATGAATTTTAGTCTACTTGTTCTTTGTTTCTTCCTTTGGCATTGGATTGTAGCAACAGTTTCACAGTAATGCAGTGGGAAGGAGTGCTCTACCTCGTGATAAATTTTTCTAAAGACCGTGTGGTGAGGTATGCCTGGAAAGAAATGGGGAGCCAAAGTCTAGAATTTACCTTTAGGTTGTCCTCATGTGGTGCTTCTGCCCTTTGGAGTTAGTGGAGGCAAATGGACAGACTGTCTGTGATGTTACTTTTAGGTGTTTATTTGCATAAACTTCCAAAATTTTTTTCCCATATTTGCCTGCATATGTTGGTTAATGAGTTGCTTTGCTGATCAGAGTGTGGTTGAACGTGAATACTAAACTGATGGATGGGGAAAGCCTATGCTAATTAAAGCAGGGTGGTTCAGAATACTTTTTAATGGTACAGTTTGAGTACTGTACCGGGGAGCCTGGAAGATTGTAATGGTTTGAAGTGCTCTGTGATGCAAAACGCACAACAGCGCTTGCAGTTTGTGGGTACCCACCCACTTGGGGAGAGTTGCAGATCACAAAGCTCAAGTCCCAAGTGCCTGCGGCATCCAAGAACAAGTGTTATCGCTGACTATTGCATACCCTGAGGAGTGATATTCCATGTACGGAGCACTGGATGAACTGAATGGGTAGAGGAGAAGTAAATCTGGATTGTTCTTAACGATATGGGTGTTGTCCTGTGACTAGGAAGCTCTGCTTCCTTAACCAGGGGCTTTGCTGTTCTGTTCCTTACGTTTTTGTTGGTACTGTTTGATGTTGCCTCTAGACTTTGGAAACGCTAACACACCTGCTGCAGAATATTGGTGACATGAGGAACTGTAGAAAATAAGCATAGCAGACAGAGGGTTACAAAATTATTGTAATGAGGTCTGAATTTTCTGCTTGTGACTGGCAGAATGATGAATAATAGCAAAGAAAATTTCTTCTGAACCTTTTTACTAGTCACTAAGCCCTTGAGAAAGGAAAGCATTGGTGTCTTGACCTTAGAGATCAGGCAGATTGTTGTAGAGTAGGAATCAAATTTACATGTGGAATGCCTGTCCCCTCATATACAACCGCAGTTTTTTTCACCATCTAGATGGTGACTTTCAAATTGGCACTCAAATGTAGGCAAATAGTCTCATGAATAGTTATTTTACTGTGTTGAATGTCTTTTTTCTTTTGCCTCCTTTGTGTACCACAAGTCACCATTAAAACTGCTTCTCCTATCCCTCCTGTTTTTGTTCGTCACTAGCCTATCAAACTCGGCGATCACCTTAACAGCATACTCCTCGGCATGTGTGAAGACGTCATTTATGCCCGCGTATCAGTGCGGACTGTTCTGGATGCTTGCAGTGCCCACATACGGAACAGCAACTGTGCCCCTTCTTTTTCATACGTGAAGCAGTTGGTCAGGCTGGTGCTGGGAAGCCTGTCTGGGGTAAGTCTGTGTCAGCATTTGAGGAGTAAGAGATATGCAGGAAGAGAGCAAAGGTGCTAATTTGGAGTCGCTCTGCAGTCATTCTTCCTCTTGTTTTACTGTATTGCAATTTTGATGGGGTAAATGTTGAAAGGAGAGAATTGCTTTTGTCCCCTTGTACAAACTAGTCTTTGTGCACGTGACGATTCCTCCTAGAGTATGCATTTACAACTGCTGCTTCTGAGGAAGATTATTTTGTGAACTGCTTGTCTTCACAGAAAGAAAAGTAAGGAAAAATGGGAGAATAAAAAAGATTAGTCTCTGGAACAAGCCTTAGACTTACTGCTACTTGAAAAGCTTCAAAAACGATCGCTGTGAATTTTTTTTTTTAAAGTTATGCTTGACTTTTGGAGAGCTGTGTATCAACAGGAAGAGGGACTTCTTAGGTGGTGTGGCAATTCTCTTGCACTTCTGCTCAGCTCTTGGATAAGATAATTGCGGAGGACGTTATTGTTTAATGATGACAAATGCATTAAACTGTTTTCAGAAATGAAAGAAACTACATGAGTTCATCTTGTAAAGTTACTATTCCTGACAGGCAACCTCTCCCTTCACCTAAGCCATTACACCATAACTTCAGAATAGTTAAATAATTTCAAGTCTCTGAGTAGAAAAGAAGGTCATAAATTGTCAATATTGTTAGACTGTTCTCTGGCCAGTACTTGTTTTTTTTGTGTTCTGTTTATGATTATAAAAAATGATGAGTGGTTTCTTATTGCTGGTACAATATCCTATGATGGTCCTCAGTTAAACTTTTTTTTCATCTCATTGGGATTATGTCAATGTAAAAATTGGTGTCTAGAGAGACAGCATTGTAATTGCAAGAACATTTGACTTGATAATGCTTACTTTTAAAAAAAAAAAAATGTTATGATCTAATAGGTAGTTTCTTCATAAATCTGGTTTGGAAATGCTTGCACAAGGTGAGAGGTCCCTGTGTTTATCTGACATTTGACAGCAGCTGATTATGACAGGCCTCCAGAAAGAGTGCTGAGCCTGAGCTCCACAAAGCATTGTCTAGTCTGTGAGGTTATATCTGCCAGTCCAGTGTTCTTTGCTGTAACGTCTGAAGCCTTGTGTAATTGCCAAGTAGAGCTAGTCTATGATTCAATGAAATAAAGGCCTACAAGGCCTTAATCAGTGGACTCTTTAAAATAAAGATATGGCTCTTAAATCAGGCCACGAGCTACAGCAACAGCCACTGTGGAGAGAAAATCATTAGCCTCCAGTGGCCCTTTCTGTTTAGCAAAGTTGCTGCTTTTCCTTATCTTGTTCTTGTAAGCAGGCTTTCAGAGGGAGTCTGAGGTTAGTGTGACAGACTAATCTAGACCAGCCTACCAAAGATGAGATTGGTCCCAAATGTATGCACTGAAATCCAGTGGACTGCTGGATCCAGCAAGTGTGTTCCTGTCTCCTATACCATGTTGATAATGAAGGAGTGGGACTACTGGTGGTTATCCAGGGCTGAAGTTTTGCTAATCTTCCAGATTTCCTCTGCCTGTAAGCTTTTTAACCTAATTCATAACGTGTCACTACATTGGATTTGCAAGAAGACAAAAACAAAACAGCTGATTAGAACCGAGTGTTGACAGAACAACAACGATGACAATTGTGCTGCTATGTCTTCATGCACCTTAGCTAGCCATCCCTGCTGTTTTCAATGTTTACTGCTCTGTATATGTGCTGGAATTTTTAAGTCAATAAGAAAAGTGTATAAAGTGGCTTTTTCAGAACTACAGTATAACTTGTTATTCCAAGATCAGTATGCCTCCAGTCTAGATTGGCCTTCTCAAAGGCTCTGTGAGATCTTAGCTCTAACTGGTCATTTGGTGGTGTGTGATGCCCAGCTGAGAGGTCTTGTTGGAATGTTTTCACTTTCAGGGCACAGGGCTGATCCAGTCTGTTTAATGGTAATTGAGTTGCATTGTAACTGTGATGGATAGAGGGCTGCTTGATTTCTCCTTCCCACCTTCCAGCTAAGAATAACTGTCCAAGTTATGCTGATTCTCACTGTATCAAAAGATCTCAGTAAAGATTCTTTGCTGTAGCAGATAAGCTCTTCTCTAAATGATTGTACATGTGAAGTAAGTTGTTGGTTTTTTTGTTTGTTTGTGGGGTTTTTTTTTTTTAGAGAAGTAGTCATTAAAAAAAGGAAGTTATTGGGAGTAGTTAAGCCTGGCATGGAAGGAATGTGCCTGAGGGGTTGAAGAAGAGACTTCTTACAAATTTAGGAGATTTTTACATTTGTAATAAATTGTGTGAGGTATCAGCATAAAACTATCAGGTACAAGACGGTTCTTCGTGTTACACAGAAAACTCATCAGGCCAATCACAAGTTCCAGTCATGCTGCAACCATGGAACACGGTTTTCAAGTGTTCCTGTCCCTTTGGTTTGCTGTAGGGGTGGAATGTATTTAAGTTACACGCTTCTGAACTGGACTTACACTTAGTGGAAAAAAGTAGACCAAATGTGTAGTAGAAGTAATGTGCAGATGATTCAAATTGGATAATTCTAGGGGATGTTCCACTGATGAACCTGTTTTTTATGAAAAAAGTTTGAACTTCCACTCTGAACTTGAACTTAACTTAACTGTTTGGCACTAACTTATGTTGTGTATTTATGTAATGGACACTTGTTTTATACTAATGTGAAGTCTTTCAATGTCTGACTTGGCGTTACTCCCTGTTTTGCAGGTGGATCAAATTTCTTGCAATGGTGATAGAAAATTGCAGCCAGACAGGAGCCAGGCTATTCGGGAGAGGCTGAGGGGAAAAGGACTTCCCACAGGTAAGTGTTTCATTGCAGTAAGAGTTATAGCAATAAATACAGTCCTGTGGTGCAGCCGAAGAAACTGAACAGTGGAAGACTTGCTGACATTCACAGAACTCTGATGGTTCAGTGTCTAGCTAAGTGCTGGTGACGGTGACATGAAAGTAATTGTTTCAAGAGAGTACATGTCTTTCTAGTTCAGTCCTGATTGTAGGAACAGGTTTTAAAGGTGTTCATCCAGAAGTTTTGTTTCTCGAGAAGGGGAATCTTCAGCTGAAGGTAGGTCAACTAAAGGAACAGGAAGCAGCTTTTCTTAGTTCCAGCGTTGCTGAGGGCTTGGATTTCTCTTCATAGCTCTAGTTGCACACAGCTTAGTTCCCTCCTTTCCAGGCAGCACCCACAGCTTGTTTCTGCCTCCTCTTTTTACCTGAAGAGAGATGTTGTATGTTCCATCACAGTTCTGCTGTGCTTTGACAGTGGGAGGTGGACACAGAGGCCAGATAGGGTTTTACTATTACTTCAAGTAAGTAAGGAAGGAGGAAACTGGGGAGACATAGAGGACTGTTTCAGATGTAGAGTGTGGAGCAAAAAGGATAAAGTGATGTAGGTTGACAGCTGATGCTGTCCATGACTTCATTAGATGTCCTTGTTTAAGGTCAGTGGCAGCAGCATCTCTGTGCTAGGCTTCTCAGACAAGAGCATGTGTTCTTCTAAAAAGCTTGTATTTTTCTGGAAGAATTGTGCCGCTGGGTAGGAGCGTTTTGTAAGGCATCAGCTTGGACTTGGACCACTCTTAAGTTGTTGAGATGCAGGAAGTGAGAGGTAATAATTGGGTGAGACTATTCTTGCCTTAAAATATTCATCTGCAAGTGGAGTATCTCAGTGCCAAAATGTGACATCAACCACAAATACTCAACACCGTAAGTGTTAGCAACCCGGGGTTTTCATCTGCCTCACATTATCTCTGTGTTTTTACCACTAGTAAACTTGGAACAAAGTTATATTACTGATGTGCTTGAGTTGCTGCTCTGCTTTTAAGTTTGTGTCAAACAACAATACAGTGAATTGCAGGAACCGAAATAATCCATAGAGTGGATTATAGTGGCAATAGAAACTGCAGAAGTTAGGCATGAGTCTGGCAAGGCATTGCTGGTCTTCCTTTATTGATCCTCTTGAGAGGAGTCCTAGATTAGGCTACGTTCTGTATAAAAAAACCCTTATGTCAATGGTTGCCAGCCCTTCCCGTACAGCACTGTGTCCTTAGAAACAGATTCTGGTACAAACTGTCTCTTCGTTTTCTGGCACAAATGCACTGTTGTGACTGCTTTCTCAGGGGCTTTGTTATCTTACTGTCTTTTCTTTTTTCCAGAATATTTCTGTAGCAATAGGACAATGTGTAAGAATACAGAGTTTGGGACTGGATCAATCTATCTGATTTGTAAAGCATGTAATGCCTTTCTCTTCTGAACTTTTTAAGTTATTTCTTAAAAGGAATTCTTTCCCTGGCTCCCACCAATCTTACAAGGGTTGTACCAGAACCTCATCGGTCTGATTGTTAAATTGTCAGTTTATTCTTTAATCCTGTTCTTCTGATTTTCCAGTGTTGTCATGTTCACAGAATCATAGAATGAATTATAGAATTATTTGGGTTGGAAGGCACCTTAAAGACCATCTAGTTCCAACCCCCCTGCCA